TACATTGAGAAAAAGATTGTCGTCGCGAAGACAAAGTACTAGCATCGAGTGCTCTCGACACACGTACATCCCGATTTTCCTCTTTGGCACATGCTTTTGGAACACCTGTATAAAGTTTCTCTTCTGCTATATCGATAAGTGACTATGTCCCGTTTCTTTTAAAAGTAGTCTTGGGTTATTGGTTATTGTAATACGGTCATGCAGATACATAGAGGTAATCATGATGCGAGGTTGCTTACGCTAGATCTCTCCCTTATGGTGATCGTCAGTTGCTCGCTGCAGATCGATCGATCGATAGGTCGTGAAAAAGTCGCGTTATTATGATGGAAGAATCACAATTACATCACAATCCGATACATAACGAATTGCACAAATAGGATTAATATATCGCAAAAATCTCTTATAAAATAAAGCCTTCTTCAACATCAATATAACATTTCATACCGTCGGAAACATTCGCAAGTGTCGTAGATAATATAAATTGCTTAATAATAAATACTTAATAGTAAATAATAGATAGTATAAACATTATTAATACATTCACCGCCAAGCGTATTTTATGTAACTTTTCGTTTACGCCAATTGCATTATTTTATACTAAAAAGAACAATAAAATATTTAATTTATAGCAATAAATTTACAGTATTGAATTGCACAAAAATATAATACGTGACGTATTTATTTGACTGTCGTCCCATCGACAGTCATCGACCGACAAGGCGTAAACGGAAAGCTCAATGCACCGGTGGCCGTCATGACGGTGAACGTATTAAGAGTAGCATATATAACGATATTTCGAAGATCTGAAGAAATGTAGCAAGAGTTCAAGGATCCGCGCGCGAATTCATGCATTCTATTTCAGAAAAATGCAAAAAATTTGTGGCAATTATAAATAAGTGACTAATAATCTCGGCGATTATTGAATACAAAATATAAAATACTTAATGATTATGCGAATTTCTGTTCAAATAATTCCAGGACATTGTACTGTTTGTGCAAAAAAGGATTATAGGGGAATACTACGTATAAATAAACAACAAAGGCCATGTTCTTAGTTTAAGGTGTGTATATGCATGTGTGCATGTGTGTCTATACGTGTGTGTGTGTGTGTATAGTATCTGCATGTACCAGAAACAACAGTTCCAACTTATAACAATTCTTTTATTCCTTTTACCATGCATTATTATTTTATTGTAAATATTAATATTAGTATTATTTGTGGTTGTTTTATCATTATTATTCATTATTATTTAAAGTGGTACTACGAGACCAGAAACCTGTAAAGGGTTTTGTTTTTATCGTGACATAGTTTTCCGGGAGTAGAAACTTTCAATTGCAAAAGCATACGTTCTTTTACAACGGAAAAAAATTGTACGATTATTCCGATCAGATCTAAACTCTTCTATTCTGTTTGTATTTTTCTCCCTCCCTTTCGTTCTTCCCCCCTTCTCACATTATTCTGATTATCTTAAATTCACGTGACCCTTGAAAATCAAAGTATTGAGATTCGATGACTCGAGGATCCGAGAAGTTAACGATGCGATGGTCTAAAGAAATAACAGCGGTCGAACGATCTAGGAATGTCAGATCTAAGAAACCCAAGATCTTACAGCGATTTAAGATCCGTGAAATCTTAAATTGGAAAAAAGATCTACGTTCAAAAAGCGACCCTCCGAGCAGGACTTTAAATCCAAGAGGACCCGCATTCCTAGATTCCGACAATTTTGCGATCCAAGCGCATCACGCTCGAAGGTAAGATGATCGCGAACGAAGTACGAGATGAGATAAGACACATGGAAAATCTTAACGCCAACGGAATGACGAGTTTAGCTCTTAAACCTCTGTACGTGGGTGTCTTTTGTTGTTATTTTTTTTTTTAGTCAAGCTCAAAACTCGCTTTCGAGTGTTCCTCGAGTTGGCCGTAATCGTGACGACCTGTATTACGTATAAAGTGGTTTCCCCACGACAGTTCGCTGTGTGTTATTATATATAATATATGTATATATCTATATATGTATATATTTATATACGCTATCGAATAACTCCCGCGCGTCGTGTGCCATCATTTCTCTTTCTCTCTCTTTCTCTCTCTCTTTCTCTCACAGTTGTTCGAGTATACTTACAATAGAAATATATTAAAATTGCAAAGTTTCACATAGATCATATCTCCAACACGTATATTCATGTAATACATTCGCTAACGTAAATTCCGAATGATTCAGATTATGCTGTTACACGTAATCTATACGCGCGCGTATGTAAGCATATGTATTTTTGAAGCATCGTTCGAAACTTTCAACTTCTGTCCCTCTCATGAAAACTCGATATCTACATAATTGCTTCTTAAACAAAATATAAAAATAAAGCCTAATAATTTTTATAGTAAGAATATAAAAAGATAAATTCCACGAAGTATTGTTATAAATTTGAAGAAAAATGAAATACATAAAAATTCTACCGTTGAAATTTAATATTTGCAATATCTTTCTTAAATAATTATTGTTTACGGTAAGAAGAAATTATGTATGTAATTACGCATTGATTTTATATCCTAAGGGAAGAGTAGAGAGCTTTGAGCGATGCTACCTGTGTACTCCGCTTCGAATGAATGATTTTCATTCGCGGATCCAGTCCGAGAATCGTAGCTGCGGTGAGCTAAAATAAAGGTAAAATAAAGGTAAAATAGGTACTAGATTCCACTACTATTCTATAAAGAATTTAGAATTAAGAGAGAAAGAATTGATAACTGAGCATGCCAAAAATTTTTAAAATGTTTCAAACATTTCATTAATTTAGAAAATGCAAGGAACTGAAGATTAAGAAGTGGAAAGAAATTAAAAGAAAAACTAAAACCAATTGATTAATCCACATTATCCGAAAAAATCAGTCAAGTTATTTAGATCACGTGAAAAAATTAGTTCCGAGGAATCTAGTACCCAAGTGATCGAAGATCAAAGAATCCGAGGATCCAAGGATCTTAGGCTACGAGAACATGTTTCACAAATCTACAAAAAGAATTTACGTCGGCGAGAAACAAACAACTTCATCTCCCACCTCCATTGTTATCGCGTCGCTTTGTCATCAGCTTTGACGTCGATCTTCGCGCGGTTTATGAGTCGTCCGCGATGTTCGATGAATTAAAGGCAGCCACGCGATACACTTAGATAAATACTGATGTATTTAATATCGATCTGAGCCAAGATCTGAGCATTCTATGGCGGTCTAATACACGTGCTTGCCACGTGTTATCCATTCGCCATTCGATTATCATCGATCATTTCCGACATCGATTAACCATGCACCTTCGCGAGATTTTCATCCTCGATCGCGGCTATTAAAAATATAAATTAATCCCTTATTGCAGAACACTTTTTTATGAGAGAGCAACGGTATGACAAATTTATTTGCTGTGTTGCTAATTATATATTTGTAAATTATAATTTTTTCAATTTTCGATATTTGTTAATAAATTCCAAAATGTTTCGTCAATACTCACCCAAGAAAATTTAAACTAAGACAAATTTTGATCTGAAAATCTTAATCTGCAATAAGAGTTTAAAGATTTTATTGAAGTTTAAAAAGCTATTTATCTTGGGATTTTATATATCTGAATCTACACAAATTATCCTAGAATACTAAAGTGATATAAATTAAAAATATTATTAAATTAAATAAATTTTAATCTAATATTGATAAAACTTACGAAAACTGCACTTGAAACTTGCAATAAAGGATTAGGTTCTTTATAATGAACAAACGCACTACGAACAAAAAGAAAGATTATCTCATCGAATTTAGCCGAGTCTTGTCGAGTCGAATTGTTACGCTTTTGTATCTATTCATGCTTCTTTTAGTTTATTCTCCTTTCTCTCCTTCTTTCTCCGTCTATCTCTCATTATTTCTCTTTTACTTTGTCTCTTTAGATACGGCAGTGTTGTGGACGGTTACGGAATCGACGTCCGTAATCCCAAAAATGTTTCCTACAAGTATACACGCTAGTTTTAATAAATACATATTTCAACAACCGTCTTTAGAACTAGGTTTTTAATAAACTTGTATATTATATCATATTACACATGATTCCGTTACGTTGCGATCCCTTTCTTCCCTTGCTTTATTTTTTCTATTCTTTTTTTTTCTTATTAAGAAAACATATTCGGAAGAAATGTCGCTTCTCGTCGATCTACCCTCTATCGTCTTTCGAATTTCGAATTAGGTTCCTCCCTGCGACGCGAATGTAATTCGCACGCGTCACTCGTTTTTCGCTTTTCCGTGGATCTCATCTTTGATCCGAGGATTTTATGAATTTCGAAAAAGCTGTCGATTTTATTTATAAGATTGATATAAAAAGTCATTATAATGACAAATGATTTGGCACAATGTTTCGTAAAAACTTGAGAACATTTATCTAAATTTCCTCAATTCGAAGATTAATAGCCACAAAATCACAAAATACAAAAGTAAAGCTAAACAACAGTGGCACTTAATTCTTGAGTCTCCTAAGACTTCTCTTTATATTCAGATTCCATCAAGATTACGTGATAGCTCTAAAAATGATTTAACACACGGCCCTAAAGAATCGCAAATGTGCCAGGATTAGAAAAAAAAAAAAAAATTTTTATCGAGTCTCAGGCTCTAAAAACTTAGATCTTAGGACCTAAGAAATTTAGAATTTACAATGTTTAAGGTCTAAAGTACTTAGGATCTAAGATGTTTAGATCTGAAGTCTGTTCGATTTAAGATACTTGGAATCTAAGGCACCTAGAATTATAGTGTTTTAGAGTTTAATTGTAAGGTATCTTACATTTAAAATTTAAGGTGCCATAACTTAAGGAGGCCAAAATCCAAAGTTCCGTATAAACTACAATCCAAGAAAATTATATTTCCCATAATTAAAAAATCGTAGGAATATAGAACAAAATTTGAAAATTTTTTCAGAGAAGCTTAGAATCAAACATTAAAAAAAATATATCTTGAATTTAAAATAAAGATATTCTGGATAGTTCTAGAATTGAAAATTTTTTAGAGATTTTTTAGAAACTTGTAAAATTAATATTATAAATTTTAAGTGCACACAGAATTTTACGCAGAATCCTAAGATTTTACAGGATTATAACATCGGAAATCTCCTTAAAAATCCTGTGGGATCCTATAAGGAGAAAATTCCGAAATCTTGTAAATCTTTGAAAAAATTGTAGGAATATCCTGAGAAATCCTAGAAGATTCGGTTAAAAAAATCCTAAGTTCATTAAATCTTAAGCGATTTATTATGCAGAACCTTCATATATTTGGCACAAGACAACGCTGCTATATCTCTTAATCTTAGAAAATTCCTAGAAAATGTTAAAAAACCCCAAACTCATTGGGAATCCTTGAAGGATCACAAAGATCCTAGGAAAATTCTAGGAAATGCTATAGACTCTCAGAAAAAATCACAGAAAGTTCGAGTTTAATCAATTTTCAAAAAATCCTCGGATTTAATGGAAATACCACGTGATATCCCCGTTCTTATTTCCACTGACAACGTGTCCTAATTTAATAATAATCAGGAATAGGTATAATCTATCTATCTATCTATCTAGTAAACCAGCATCATATTAAAGTCTATCCTCCTCCTCTTCTTCGTTATCCTCGTTATTCTCTTCGGACTCCTCTTTGTAGCCGGGATGCTCTGAGATCGCGTAATAATTTCCATTGTAGATCACCCCGAGCTCCCGCAGGACATCGCCCCGTATGATCGCCTTGATCGTCCAATTGTAGATCTCCTCGCTCTCGCTCTCGCGATCCAGCCGCTCGACGTCGAGGATTTTGGAGCTAAGTCGCTCCAGTATGATGCCAATGTCCTTGATGCTAAGGTGGTGCTTCTGATCGACCGTCAGCTGATCGATCAGTAACAAAAATTTCTCCGAGGTCACGATTTCGTCCTCCATTATTGTGTTCTCCGTTTCGGACTCAGAACTGTCATGCTCTTGATGATGGTGGTGATGATTATGATGTAAGTGGAAGCCAACAGCACCGGCTAGACGCGAGCTTGACTCCTCGTCAGCGGTATCGCGAAAACGAACATGACCTTTGCTAAGGCCAGGTCGCTTGGTGCCGTCCGATAGGGAGGACGGTGGCTGTGGCGACGGCGTTTGCGTTTGCTGCTGTTGCTGTGGATGCGGATGATGCGGATGTTGATACTGCGCATGCTGCGCGTCCTGGATCGGCGACGTCGCCACCGATTTGTGTACAGCGATTCTGCGGCCCTCTTCGTGCAGGGCGCAGCAGTGGAAATCGCACTCGCCGATAGCACCGCCGTCGGCGCCATTCACCGGACTGCCGTTTCGCGCGACCGGCTGATGAATGTGGTTGGAGCATTCGGGTGTGTGGATGTGGATGGTCGTACTGTCGAACGAATTTGTGCCTTGCTTCACCAGACGGCCCGGCATGTGCGATTGCACCGGTTGTTGCTGCTAGGATGAAGATAAGCTTACAGCGTGATAGATAAGAATTTAGTTCAGTTTGCGTCAAAATTTCAAAAATAAAATACCTAACTGGTTGAAATCAAAGAATTAGACGATTACAACAATGATCTAGTTCACTTTCTTCAAATCTTTAAAGAACTAACATAGAGAACTAATGCCATATTGATCTCTCTAATTACAAGTAACGCAATGATTGCGCTAAATTGATTTAGAAGATCGTGATTGATAAAAAAAAAACTGTCCACAGATAAAGCGCTTAGATTAGTACGGCTAACAGATTGGTATGGTAGGTCATTGTTGAGATCGAAAAATTCAGTGCAACGTTGAGCTGACCTATTTTCTTAAAAGCATGAACGGATTAATTTCCTCAGGACTTTAAGAAAATGAATTACATCACTGTCACACTGATCTTTTCAATCGTAGATTCTGCGGTAGGTTTAGAAACTTGCGCGATTGAACTAAAATCTAAAGATGAAACGCTTAAAGAAAAACTGTAAATTGAATATACCATATCGTCATGATTTATCACAGTGATTCGCGGGCTGGTGTACCGCGACGGGGCAATCTCGCCGGGCAAGTGCGTCGTCTTGCCGTCATAGCCGAGCTTGTCCAAGCTGGTCTGGATCACCAAGGACGGCCGCTGGGCGCCACTCAGGTCAGCTTTCTTAGTCGGCGAATACTTGGAGGTTTGGGCATCTTGGCCTGCCTTCGCCTGCTGCTGCTGCACCTGCGACGACGATGACGAGCGCTGGTCCCAGTGTAGTACCACTGTGACTCGGCCTTTATTGTCCATGATTTTCCACGATGGCGTCTCATCGTGCAACTCCAGCGCGTGGATCGTCTCGCAGACTATTTTCGGGATCGCCGAAATTGCTGAGAAAGAGAAAGTGAAAAGGAGTTATCAGTTATCGGTGGACGCGGCTGCGGAGGGATACGGGTGGTGTTCGGTGGTGCAAGGCGTGACAATTAGTGCCAGTGATCCATCGCAAGAGTGCGAGATCCATAGATCTTAAGGAAGCCAAGAGACTTACGGATTCAAAAGTCTAAAGAGGTTTCGGGTGATAAAGAAGATTGTCTTAAAAAATCCAAAACATCTAAAGAGAGCTTAAGAATAGAAGAAAACCTACTTGGTTGATCGTTTAAAGGCTTGTGTGTGTGTAAGGATTCAGTTTGATCCACATGTAATTCAGTTTGATCAGTTTCAATTATATCAGTTGCCTCGAGATTAGTTTCCTCAACCAAGTTGTCGATTTCCATCAACCAAAGTTGATCGTTGTAATATCTCCTTTACATAGCAGCGCGTATGACTCTAAAGAAGCTATATATTCGAGGGTTCAAAAATCTAGAAAAGTCGAGATATTTGATATTTGAGAACAGAAGAAAAGCTACTTGGTTGATCATTAAAGGTCTCTATAAGAAGATTCAATTTTTACTTGTGAAATGCTTCGATGAATCTAATTTATCGCATGATATACGTCTAAAAGGTATCCCAACTATTTTCATCTGTTAAATCCTTAAAAAATTCTCGTTTTCTTTAGAGGTCTTTCAAAATTTTCTGTCGTGTTGCTTCAATCTTAGTTTCCTCAACCAAGTTGCCGATTTCTCCTAAAGTCGATCTGTGTAATGTCCCTTTTACCTACCAGCGCGTATGATGTCGACGCCAGTAGGACACCAGCGTTCACCATGCCGCAACAGGAGCAGGATCGTGTTGTTTCCTAGTGTCTTGAAGTACTCGCCGTCCTCGACTTGCGTGCCGTCCGACTCCAAAACTAGCGAGACATTCTCGTTTTGTGGCACGCCCAGCTTTTCCTTACCTGAAAGCAAGGGTTGGCCAAAGGGTTGGGGTGTCAGATGGCGTTCCAGAGGGTTGTGATAACGCTTTAACATCAGCGTCAGTGTGCGTGTGGGCGTGTGCGTGCGCGCGTGTGCATGTGTGTTACATGTATCCCGTGTAAATGGGTGTGCCACGTGTCGCATGTACTGTGTAATCGTGTGAATGGCGCGGTTGCGAATAATGGTGGTGCGTCCTCGAACGAATGAACGAACGAACGAACGAACGGCGCTTTGTTTCTGAGAAATGTTGCGAGAAATGTGTGTTGCGAGAGCGACACTTTCAAAGGAACTTTACAGATAATGCAATTCCGCGCCGCGATACGCTGCGCGGAAATATTTCCGACCGGAAATATTTCTTCGCCGGTCGGCCGGACAGGTGGAAAGAGAGTGCTCCGGAAGGACAATGCGTGACGCTTGCTTGCAAAGAGTTATCCTTAGCGTAACACGCATGGTTTTTTTTTTTACAAAGAATCTAACATCTTCCTCAAAGTCTTTCTGAAATTTTTTTTTATTTTTTTTTTCCTTTCAAAAAGATGTTTTGTAAGAAAAGAACGATATCTTGTGACCAGTAATCCAATATCTTAAATATCGTCAAAAATATATACATCACGTTCAATGCACTACTGCTAAGAGTGCAGATTGTTTTAATGATATAGGAAGAAACTTTAAGATGCATTATAAACACAATTGGGCTTTTAATTGCTTTTGCTTTAATTTATTAAGTATAAAAACTAAACTTACAGACTCTTAAATTTAGATTTATTTCTCACCTCGGACAATCAACTCTTCGAAATTGCTAACGACCAGTCCTTTTCTTACGTTACGCCAGCTGTCCCATATCTTAAAAGGTCTCTTGGTCCGTAACTCCTGCGCAAGAATTAAATAATTAGTATTAATATTTACAGCAATTAAGATATATTATTAAAATACAAGTGATGTAAATTAATTATTATTTTTGAGCCAAGAATAGAATAGGAATTTAGGCTAGAAAAATATTAAAACATAGTTTTAAAAAAGTCAAATATCAAAAGAGGAAGAGAGAAATTTTTACGTGATGGAAAGGGCATGACATCTGACATCGATTAATTTTAGTACAGTGAAAAAAATGTCGATGTGTACTGCACTATAATGCACGGTAAAGTTAAAAATGGTTGACATTTGCGATTTATTATTGACCTTAAATGTTCTCCGGAAGCGCGTGCAAGCTTGCAGGCATTTAAAGCGCTTTGTAAAAATAAAGTTATTGAACATTAGAAAAAGGGTAAAACAGTAGACTTATGTTGGCATTAGTTGAAACATGCAATTTGTAGTTTTATACAGCTTTTTTCGCATACGGTTTTAGAAAAAGCAACATTGTGCAGCCTTGTGTGCATTTAAAATTTTGCGAAATTTTTATATGTATATGTGCATAAACGATAAATCATTAAAGTAAACTTTTCTTGCGCTTTGTAAAATATAAAAGAAATAAAGAAATATCGCGTATATAAGAAATGATTCACACACAAATTAAAAATAATTCGCGACAAGAAAAGCGTGTGAATAAGGCTTGAAGAGCCTGACCCCGGGAAACGCTTGTCGCCCAGATGTTAAATGGAGTAAATAATTTCCCAACATGCTTCGTACACATAGCGGCCATATAGAACGGCTGATAAATAAAATCTCATGTATGAAAACTCAAATATTTCATTATTTTTTAAACTTTTAACATAATGTCGCAACAGGATTACATCTTATCATTTATATTTATTTATTTGCACAAGCCTGGTGCAAATTTAAATGAGAATTAAATGAAAAATATACGATATAACGTGCAGGACTATACAGGATTATAAAAATTGTTCCAAGTTCATTAACATACGACCGTGACTAACATATTGGCAATCGAATCAATAAAGTAACGCAAAAATTATTTTAAAAAAATAGGGACCAACGTTTCAATGCGTGCAAAGTGTTCCTGAACTATCGCACTTTAATGCAATTACTGCATCTGGGAATTCGAGAGTTTAAAGAGTCTAGACCTGGATCTATAGGGCTTAAAGATTCACTCGAAATCCCACGCATCTAAGAATCTAAAGATATCCCTTCTCTCAGGTCTTGGAATCTATAAATTTGAATATTCAAATATTCACGATTTCTGCGCGAGCATTCAAAATAATTCGCAACGCAAACTCCTATATGCTTATGTTAGATTTGCATGTACATCAAGTATAACGTAAAACTGATTTATATCGAATCATAAAAACGCGACCCACATCTAATAATATTCATATTAAAAAAGTAAACGCAATAATGCATGGCGCGGGACACTTACGGCAACGGTTTGCACGTATCTTTCCACGAACTCTTTCCACTCGGAGACTCTTTGCGGATGGTTTATCGGATGGTGAATTATTTCGTTAATTTACTTTAATTTACTCGGTTTACTTTAGGAGGTGCATATATACTCCACACAATTTACTCGCGAATACATTCGTCCCCGCCTCGTTTCGTGCACTCTATCGTACTTCTCACTGTGGATACATCTGCACTCTTCGATCGGCGAGATTGCATCCCGACGACGTCGCTAGCGATCTCGGAATAATGCGATCCGAAGGGGTGCATTATGTTTGGGGTTGTTCCTAGTCCTCAACGGGGGTGGCGCTAAGGGTGTAGGACGCGTGCGCAGTTTATGATCGAAAGCACTGACCTGGTTTAACCGGTCTTAACTTGTAATATCGCTTATTTATTCTGTGCGCACAGTAGGATTTGCCGGTCATTCATTGTCAATACTAATATATCGTTATTATATTTGTTAGACATTTGTAATTATTAAGTATATGCGCAAGATATGTAAGTGCTCGATTTAACCGGATGATAAACAATATTCTATTTATTTATTTTTATTTCGTACGGACGCGAGTTATTGCATTAATTCGTTATTATTTTCCAAATTTTATTGTTTCTCAAAACTACAGATATTTCAAAATAGAAAACTGTCGGAATTTAAAGCACAACGCGAGTGCTTATGCTTTTCTTCACCCAGCGATTTGATATCTACTGAAACACGCAAAGATCTACGGATTTAATTAACTTTAAGAATTGAAATACTTAAAAGAAACCAAAAGAAGAACCTAAATCTAAGATCTGAGGAGACATAAGTAATATAACACGAGTTCATATAATAATTATACAATAATAATCCAGATAAATAATAATTCACAACATAAAAATACAGAGGAGTTTGATACGAGAAATCAGAGAGAGAATCAGAGAGAATTCAGAATGTACTCTTACATTAGAGTCAAAACGCCCAGCATGTTTGAGCGAATCCAAAAATTCAAAGATTTAAAAGTCCAAAGGCCTAAAATTGAATGTTTATCTTAGCAATACAAGTATCAACCTCTTTCATGTAATAACCCCTCGCATTCGCGAGCTCGCCGTGGATGGAACTTAGTAAACAACATCGCAACGTGCTAACGAGCAAATAGGGAACCCGCCTGCAGCTGCAACGTGAATGTACCCAGGTGTATCCCTTAACGAAGTATCGTCGAGAACCGCTGCCGTCGACTACTTCGCGAATTTTTGATTTACTTAAATCCGTCACACACGGAGGATTCTAAAGTCGTGGAATTTGGAATAACCAACGAATCAAGAATAACGCTGAACAAATATTTAACAGAAACCTCCCTTTTGTAACGACGTCTTTCCGATGCATCCGCATTGAAACGTTCTTAGATATTTGCCCTTAGATATTTATTCGTTTTAAATATATTTTCTTAAGAAACTTAACAATTCGATTCTCCACCTATTTAGAATTTTTTATTTAATTTATTTATATGAGAGATTATGCAAAATGTGGACTCTCCAAAAATGCAAATTTCTTCGTTGAAACCACGAACTCAGGTGCATTCTTTAACAAGAAATCTGAAATATATTTTCTCAAATACTTTTTTAATTTAAGTAAACATTATTTAATTAAAAGTTTAGAATATATATCGTATACATATATAATTTTTTTTGTCCAAATTTGTTTATCTCACAAATTGTAAAGTAGAGCCAAACAACAAATACAGAAGAATCTTTTTTGGAATATCTCAGAGGATCTGACATGAAACTGTAAATACGCGAAGAGGCTTTTACAATGAAACAAAAAGTATACAGGAATTTTGTGAAACGTGACAAACGATGATAAGGATTTTGCATGGAAGAGTCCGCGAACGTGCAGAACGACGAGAAGAATTTTGCGAGCATGCAAAGTAACGACGGGCGAACATAATGAGGTACAGAGCCGTTCTACGAGCGAGAAAAGCATTCCGCGAACGAAAGAGTAACATTCTCGCGACTCTGCTCTGTGTATAATTCTCAATATAAACAGGTCGAGAGAGAATATTTGCAAAAAGCGCATTGAATTTAAAATTTGTATCTTGCGGACTTCTTCAAGAAGATTCCAACAACTGTACAGTGACAAGGATTCCGGGATCTTGCAAATCGGTGAAGCAGAATCTACGAGCGAGTATAGTGGGGTGTATTGTAAGAAGGCAATGAGGACGAGTCTATATGAGCGGGAAAAGCGTGAGGAAAGTTTCTAGCGGTAGACAAAACGGATGCAAGGAACTCCGTGAACACGTAAAAGCGACGAACTAGCCTTCTATCGAGGAATAAAGTGATTAAGTGGACTTTGCAAATGGAAAAAAAATGTCAAGGAAGAACTTACGTGCGAATAAAATAACGAGAGAGATTTTACTAACGCTAAAAGCCTTGTAGAAAGTTTTATTAATATTAAGAAAATATTAATACTAATTTATACAAGGTGACAAGAGGGATTCTAATTATCCGCACAAAATAAAATGATAAGAAACTCATGAGCAAAAAGAAATAACAATAAAGATTAATTTCAGAAACATGCAAAGATAACTATCGGCGCTTTAAGATAGCTAGGAATTATCTTAAAAGAAATAATTATTAATTATTATTTAAACAATATGTATATACGAAGAGAATGCTAATAGAAAGAATTATTGATAATTCTTCAAAGACAATCCTGGTGAAATGCTATTCTAAAGTAAAAAAAAAAAACGATCACAAATGAGGAAAATCTTAAAAATTCCAGACCCGATTCTCTATTTATGAAGAGATACGTTCGAACATGTTTCCTCTCTATTTATTATTCCCCTTAGAAATCGCGGATGGTGATAAACGACTCGAATCATAACTCAGAACATGTCCACAAACTAGGACAACAGCAGCGAGTATCTCTACAACTATGTGCTTCCATATTACAAATGAAGAAAAAGCGTGTCCATCACAATGGACGCTATAGGTGCGAGGGGATTAGGAATTCTATGAATTATCGAGAAAACGTAATCCTCGATATCTTCAACTGATAGAATTCAGGAGTATCAGGGTGGGATTCTAAGTACACACACACACACGCGATATAATTCAATAAAGCGAAATAAATCCTTACGGGGGCGGTCGGGCGGACGTTCCAAGTTATAAGCAAGGATTAATCGCGAGGGATACTCTGAACAAACACAATTCTGTAATCGGGCAATCGGGTTTCAGGGCAATCTCAATCTCGTGAGCACATAGAGAGAAGATGTCCCCGAAAGAGGCGAAATGAGGCCGTGTGATTCTACAAACGAAAAAAGTGGAGCATTCGCGCGGACACCTATCTTTATGGGAAAACCGCGCGTCTGTCGAGGCGGGGAAGGAGCGGGCTGAAGGGCTCGTCCCTTCGGCCGTTCGGCCTTGCCTAGAGGGTGATGCACTCTGGGGGGGTGCAAGCCGAGGACCGATCTCGTCGGGTGTCACGAGGTCACGTGAAAATAGGTCATCGAGAGGCGTCCTCTCCGCGGAGAGAGAAGACTCTCCCACGACGGGCGACGAGATTCCTCTCGTTCGCGATACAAAATAAAGCAGGAATACGAGATTTCTCCTTCCCTCTCCCACCCCTCCCGCGTCGCGAGAATGATTCGCGGGGTGGATGCTGCATGGGCGCGTGAGATGGGAAGGAAGCTGCCGGAAGGATATGCGTACCTCTCTTGCCATTACGTCATAGCCCTGCAGGTAAGGAACCGTCCCAGCAGCAAGCGCGCGGTTTTATTCCGAAGGAACGACCACCAAGGCGAAGGGGAAGAAGGCTGCACGTCGCATATCGGGGGATGCTGCTTTCTGGTCGCGCTGCTGTCCGCCCAGCTTGCTCTCGCGCGTACACCCTCGCAAGGTGTCTCTCTCTCTCTCTCTCTTTCTCTTTCTCGCCTTCTCGCACCGTCTCTGCCCCTCTCTCCTATTTCTTCCTCTCCCTCTCTCTCCCTCTCTCTTTCTCTCTCTCTTTCTTTTCTCCTCTCTTCTTCCTATCGGGCGCGATACTTGGCTCGGCCGGTCGTCTGGCTGGCTGGACTCACTGACCGAATAGCGGCGGGCTGTAGCTACTGGCTGGATGGCTGGCTGACTGGCTGGCTGACTTGTATCACTGATCACGGCCGACAGACGTGGTGGTCTTCCCTTCCTCACGCGGCTGCTCCTCGCCGAGACGCTGCTCGCCGTTCCTGTCGCACCCGCGGCGCCGCGCCTCGCTCCGTCCCGCTCCCACGCACGCACGTACGCGAGGTAGACGAGAGCGAGGAGCGCACAACACCCTCCGTTATATACCGCGATTAAAGCACGGCCGCCCCCGGCCGGCCGCCCCTGCGCTGCCGTGCCGCCAGGACAGACAGCGGGTGGTGAGAGAAAGAGGGCGAGTAAAACGGCGAGGAGCGACGAGCAGGGGCTGCGGCGACGTACCGTACGTCCGTCGACGTGGACGTACCTGGCCCGACGACCGTGCCGTGCGTACGTGCGATTAGCTGGCGTGCGTCTAAGATTTCACTGGCGCATACGACGGGGGCCCCGCGAATTGTAACACTGGCTTCCTCCTAGCGGTTACTGCGGCGACTCCTAGTTTTAGATCGATTCTCCTACGGTACGTACCACCGTACGCCGCGAGGGGTCGGAAGGGCTGCTCTGCACATAACCACCCTCTCCTGTCCGCCGCCCTGTCCCCTCCCTTCCTCCCGCCCGCCCCCCCCCCCCCCCACGCCGACACCCCGCCGCCGCCTGAAACCCCTAGGAAACCTCGCCCCCGTGAACGCCACCGACAGCCGACACCTGCGACTACGTGGGAATGTGCCACCCCCTGAGGATACGGGGTTGCATTTGGGGTAGGAGATTTCGAGGGGTGAGACTTCTCTCCGTGGGTAAATGCGATCTTGGGTCAACGATCACGACGATAAAGTCGACGGAGTCCCGATAAGAGAGATCTTTCCTTCGGAATTCGATGAACAGGTGTTTTCCTGACCGAGAGTTGAAACGGAAGGTATCGAGTGGAAGTGGTCTTACAGTGGTCAGGCAGAGTTCAGTCTTGCACAAGGGGGAAATCTCCGCGAGACACTACGATAATATGATAAAATTCTTCGTAGTTTGATAAATATAATCTTTTGTTTATAATCTTTCGTATTATTTAGAAATCAAAGTTTGATGTTGTATACAAAATATATCATAATGATGGGTTAAA